GCATCCTTAGTGCCTGGCACACAGTAGATCCTCAGGAGTATCCCAAAGCAATAAATGACTCCCAGATTCTTGGGTGAGGAAGGCCCTTCCTCATGGACCAGTGCTAAGGGACTTTGACAAGTTCCTAATTCTTCCGGGGGAGCACACTTAGGAAGGTTTTGCAGAGGAGGTAAGGCTAAGCCGAGTCTAGGACGTGGACTATCTTCAGTGGGGAGGAACAGTCCTTCTCTCATGTCACCTGCCCACAAGATTTCTTTGGTTTCAGTTCCAGTTTTTCATGTTTCGTTTTGGCTGTCCTGGGGATTGAATCCAGGGGCACTCTACCCCCGAGCTATCACCCAGCCCTTTTTTATTTACTTATTTTTATTTTGAGTTGGTGTTTTGCAAAGTTTCTGAGTTACAGTCCTGTGCCACAGTGCCTGGCCAGTGTCCCCTCTGTGTGGTAATCTAGAATGTCCATCAGTGGGTTCTTCTGCCATTTCTAGGCAACTTTGCTTATGGGTGCCCAATCCATCATTTTTGTGTTCAAGAATAGATCCAGGTTCCTCCTGCATGGTATTGGGCAGGGGAGATATAGCTAATTTAAGTTAGAAAAGGCACCTGGGCAATTGTGTGGAAGGCTGAGGCAGGGGGTCCACCAAGGGCTTGCCTAAAAGACAAGGAGGAGGTGCTCTAGGGGACCCTTGAGAGCAAGAACTGGCAGGATTTGCTGAGCAATGTTTTGTGGTGTTAAGGGAAGAGCTTAGAACAGCTTCCAGATCTCCAATTTGGGAGACAGTAGAGCTGTCAGTGAGCACAGGCACCTAGCAACTAGGCAATGGGGCTCTGCTCCAGGACCTCCACCAGGGAGGATGTGACAGTGTAATATGATGACAACCCAGATACTAGATGCCTTGTTAAATCTGGATGAGGTTAACTGGAGCCCATGACAGGTCTTGTGCCCTCTCCTCCGCCCCCTAAATTTCTGTGGATTCTCAGTTTAGCTGGGTCTGGTCACTTTGGGCTCTGAGCTCCTGCTTCTAATCAACCAATTCTGTTTATGGCTTGTTTGCACATGCCAGACTCACGGTCCCTCTGCTGCGTGGGCCAGGGGCTCTTTTCTCCATCTGGGGTAGTGAACTACAGCTCATGAAATGCCTGTACATGAGGCAGGTGTTAAACAAGACTTGGGGAGTTGAAGGGAGTCTACCTCATAGAAGTGCCAACAGCATTAAGTCATCTTTCAGATCATCCCATTTAATAGATCTTTGGAAAGCCTCAAGGCCAGCCATTTCCTTCTGGAGGCACTTTCCCATGTGGCCCCAAATCCTGTTGCCACCTTGGGGATGGTACCAGATGCCCAACCTCCAACTGTTTTGGGAAATTCTAAACCTTTCTTCTCAAATGCAGCAAATGATCCTGCTAAACTTCTCTGAACTCGGCCCCTTTTCATTTCCCAGCTCCATGAAGCTCCTAGTTGAGTAGAAGGGTATCCTGACATGGATAAGGCCATCAGGCTGAAGGGTAACTGTGTCTTAATAACACTTAACACCGCATATGAAAAATTTCAAGTATTATCTTCCTCAACTACTATCTCCCACCTCTCCCCCAGCACCCCTGGTGCTCCCTGCTTTGATAGCTGGAACCCCAAGACCAAGAGTCTGGGACCTGCTGTCTGGGCTCCTTTTGTCTGTGTGGTCAGGGGTGGTCCCTCTCGGCTCCCTGCTTGTCTGTGTCCTGCCCATGCCCCCAAAGGCCATCTACTGGTGGCTTGTTTATTGCTGCCCTTGTTTCTCCTGATAGTGCTCTTCCCACCTGGCAGGAAGATGACTAAAATTGGGAAGGGCTGAAAACAGGGGTGGAGGGAGGTGTTTCTTCTTTGTATCCAGCCTTGCCCATGTCGCTCATCTGAGAACCAAGCTGCAGGACATCCTTGTCTTAGTTCCCAGCATCAAGGTAGTCTTGGCATCAACATTCTTAGGACTCCAAGAAAGGTCATTACCAGGCAGGTAGGTCATTGTTATCTTTGAGTTCATCCCAGCTTGTCAGAGGGTCCCTGTTGCTGACATGGGAGGGTCCTGGCATCAGAACACTAGGGACTGATAGAAATCCCTGGAAGGGCGGGGAGGGGGACAGGCTGGAAGACTTCCAACACACTCCAGCCACGAGTCCTTGGGACTCATCCAAGAGACGTGTATCAGCCATTGTCAGAAACTGCCTCAGCATTAGGTGTTCCAAAAGGAATGAGAAACTCTCTTGTCCCCAGAGCCCACAGGCTCTCCGACAGACCCATCACTGTAAAATGTGCCAAGAGCGCCACCTAGGGATGCAGAGGTGGCAGCGCAGACAGGCGCTGCGGTGGTTGCACAGGAGTGGCAGTGAAGAGGGCATCCATGTGCAAAGACGAATGGTCTCAGGAGCATCCTTGTGTGCTAGAGCAGTAGGTGCACCAGGAGGCAGGGCTCTAGACCTGGAGGCTGTGGCAGACAAGCAGATGCGGAGCTCGGGGAGATCAGACTTGGACACGGCTAATAGGGATGGTGGGACCTGGGTTTCCGTAAGTACAGGCTGGCAGCAGGGCAGGTGGACGTAGGGGCAGAGGCACGCTGTGCTCCCGACAGTCCGCACTCTGCTGCAAGCTCATGGATGGCAGTGAGCCTGTGGCGATTGTGGGCTCCACTATTTGTAGCCCAGAATTTAGGCCAACACAAGGAGTCTTGGAGTGAATGCAGCGAGAAGGTGAGGTAGCCTGGCAAAGGTCGCCTCCCTACAGACCTCTGCCCCTGGTGTCAGGCATCCAAGAATGGTGAGTCGGGTGTGGGAAGGGCAGCCCACTGTGGCACAGAATAAGCTGTGTGGTAGACACCTGACATGTATGTCACTTAGGGTTGCTGCTTAGGTGTCATTTGCCATTCCTGAGGCCTTGGTCCTTGCAGAACAGCAATAGCTGGGGAAAGGGCAAGGACAGGGACAAAACTCATCTTTGGGGCTGGTGGATGGTCAGACATCTCCTGGATTATAGGCTTTATAGTTGCAAGGGGAACAGGGAGGCCTATCAGAAGTTGGGGTACAGGGGGCCCCTGAATTAGGAAAATAACTATTTGACCAGACCACAGTTTGATTGGATTAAAAAAGTGTATTGGGTTTCCAATACTAAATAAAAACATGAAATTGTTTTTAAAAAGCCATAGAGTTTACAGCATCAATTACAGAAAAGGCCAAACAAATGTATACAGAACCCAGTCCAGCAGTCCTCCAGGACCCTCCAGCAGGCTGCAAGGCAACAGACACATTTGCTCCACATCCTCCTGAAGGAAACTGCTGAGCCGCAGCTCAACTAGGACACGACAAGACACACAATGGTTTAGTTTCAAAAACCACAGGAAAATGTAAGAAAATGTATTCAATTGTGAAAGGTGCAATACAGAATAGCTTTCCTTTTTCTTAACTTTAAAAAATCCCCCAACTTTGAACAGTTATTTCATTTAAAAATAGGTCCCTCCCCCACCCCGCCCTGATTCTGTGGCAGTATCCAGGTACCAAGGCCCTGAGGTAACAGAAGTGTCAGGGTTCATGGGAGGGAATGCCCTCAATACTGAGCATGTTCTTTGGGCAAAAGGTAAGACAGTTTTGGGGGAATCTAGCCCTCCTGGGGGCCAGAAAGCTCTCACTGCTCTCTTCAGGACCAGCTGAAATGCACTGGTTTCCTGAGTCCTGCCAGGCACTGTGCCGTGACAGCTCTGCGGCAGCAGGAGTTCCAGCACTGCACTTCTCATCGCCCCCCAAATCATAAATACGGAGTTTACGTTGTAGAAAAGCAAATGTGTAATAAGCTCTAAAAAAGGTAAAATAACCCATGATCAAAGGTCGGTGGCACACCTGTAACCTGTGGGGGCACTCATGAGGCCTGGGCAGGGCTCAGGGACCTGGAATAGGGGGCCGGAGCCCCACTGGTGGTCAGCAGGGGTTTTTTTTGGGGGGTTACTGGGGAGTGAACCCAGGAGTGCTTTACCACTGCCACATCCCCAGCCCTATTTATTGAGACAGGGTCCTGCTAAGTTGCCGAGGCTGGCCTCAAACTTGTGATCCTTCTGCTTTAGCCTAGGATGACAGGTGTGCACCACTGCACCTGGCTCTGAGCAGCTTTGTTGGCTACAGCACGCAAGCCCCAGCTGCCTTCTTCACTGCCTGGGGATTTGTTGGGGAGAAGATGCCCAAGGCTCAGTCATTACATATTCTTAATCTTTTCATTACATATTCTTAATCTTAAAGAAATGAGCATACACCTCAGCCCCTACCTTTTTAAGGAAAGACAACAACTTTTTGCGAACGCAAAGGCTTCTGTGTATGGCTGAGACCTGGACATATGCTGCTGGGATGGAGGGGACAGCTGCCTCTGCTGATGCTCTCTCCACTGTCTTTCTTCATTCCCTACTTGCAGAATTACATTGACAGACCTGCCTTGCCTCAGTCTTGCTGATGCTTTTTCAGAAGGGGCCCTGAAGTGTAGAAGTGAGAGCTGGCCTAGCTGATGATAGGCACCAAGAAGCAGGAGTCCCATGTGGAAACAAAGCTCCTTTCTTAACCTCCAGCCTCCTCAAGGGAACCACCTTCAGCAGCAGCAAAGGGTCTCTATCCTGTGCTCTCTGACATCCAGGAACAGGGCCAGGCTCTTGCTATACTTGGCATCACTCCATGAGGAACAGCACCAGGGACCTCAGCATGGACATTCCCACCAGGACATAATCAAGACGCAGGGCAGCAAAATCCCCACACCCACCTATTGCACAGAATTTTTAACTACATCCAAACAAAACTGCAGTTGCAATGTAGTGACAATAAGATGGATATACCAGAAAAGGACAAAAAAGAAGATGCTTCCATTCTCTGCAGGCTTCTGGAAGAAAGTACAATGACTGGAACATTCACAGGACCTCAGCAGCCCTTCCATTTCCTATTCTCAACCCCCAGCCCCCACCCCAATACTGAATCTGCACAGAAAACAACAAACAAGTCTTTTCATGTTACATTTCATTCAAATAGATCTGTAATCTCACAGTGATGAGAGGAGAAAGTCAGGCCTTTAATAATTATAATAAAAAAATAATAAAAAAGCGTACAAACAGCAATGCAACATTTCCTCCCCCTCAAAGTGATGGATTAACAGCTGGTAGAGGATGCAATGTCTCAGAATTAAAAAATAAAAACCAAACCAAAAACAAGCCAACCCCTGCAACAACCCACACTGTCAATGACTTTCCGTATGTAATTGGAACAAGCAGTCAAATGTCAACCACTTGTGGAAAACACCATGGACTTCCTTGGTTTTGGATCATATTTTTTTAAGGTAAAATAAAATAGACTCAAATAAAATTGTACATAATGCCAATGTCTACACTCCATCAAGTTGATGCAGTTGCAGCACGAAGACACAGCCTGATCACAAAGTGAAATGCAGGTTGTACTCCTCGCCTCTTCCCTGGACACAAAATTTTGGCCCATGGTGCCCAGTCCTGCATGGTATCAGCAGGCAAAGGGAAGCTGCCCCAATGCAGGCATCTTCCAGGCTGACCAGAAGAAGGCAGGTGGCCGTGCCTGGAGCTAGTTCCATGCGGGGGTGGTGGCTGGTCTGCTGGCTCACTCTGTTCTCAAGTGCTGTCCTCTCGTACTCTGTACAATTCCTTGTTTTCAAGGCTAAGTTCCAAGACTTCTAGATTCAAGCATGGAGTCCTGGCCTGGCGAAGGTTGTCATGCTGTCGTGATGGCATTTAGGTCCTTCATTAGTCCTTCCAGGTGGGCCATCTCTTTGGTCAGCTCATCTGGTTCATAGCTCTATGGAAAGGAGAACACTGTCACTGGGCATTATCTGAGGAACTGTCCAGGAAGGAGAGCCCAGAGAGAGGGGTCAGATAATCAAGTGGTGAGTGGTAAAACTATCCTATTGGACTGGCACACTGAAACTCAAGCTGGCTCAGAAGAATCAGAGGTAGCAGCTTGTATCCAAAGCCACTAAGATGTCATTTCTTGAAACTGTACAATGTCCCTTTTCTCAGCACATGTTCCCCAGTTCACAATGACCTCATGAGCCAAAGGTCCCACTACTTGCCCCTTCTAGGTGCCCCTTCTAGGTCTTTGCAACAGTCAGGACAGTTAGTATGTCCCTTGTTCTCTGCGCCCAACCATTCCTCTAAAGAATCCTGTACCTGGAAATGCAGAGGTAGACATATTTATTGGATTTTTTTTTTTTTCTGGTACTAGGGCTTGAACCAAGGGTTGCTCTTCTATTGAACTACATTCTAGCTCTTTTTGTTTTTTGAGACAAGGACTCACTAAGTATATCAATGTTTGGAGGATCTGTGTATGCTAGTGAACCACTATTCTCCTAATACTTGTGATCCTCCTATATCAGCCTCCCAAGGAGTATGCCATCGCACCAACTATTTATTGGGATTTGAGAGTGAAAGATCTAGGAAAGACCAGATCAGTTTGTTTCGAGAGCAACCTCTCAAGCACCTTCTCCAGTATCCTTCTTAGAGAGGTTACAGAGCAGAATTGAGGGGTGAAAGAACTCATGCCACATTTAAAGCAAGAAGAAAGGGCCAGGCAGGAGGGACAAACTGAGAGGACGTTAGGTGTGTATGACTAGCTGAGGGGTATGATAAGCTAATTTAAGACACACCAGAGTGGGCATGAGACACAAAGCAGACCAAACCTTCAGCACATTCCTGGCTTGGAGGAGATGCTCAAAATACAACTGAACAAATGACTAACTCTTCTTCCTGCCACTGGGCAGTGAGGCCTAGGTCTACATACAGTATCAGCTTGAACAACATGCTTGAAGGCCTTTGGGTGCGTGCCTAGACATCCTGGCTGCTGGGCTGACTGCTGTTTAAACTTACACTCTCAGAGTCTTCCAGCATCCTTGTGGTCTCCTGTACTTCAGGGGCACTTGGAACAACCACTGGCATAGGAGGCCGGCTCCTTCCTAAAGTTCCGATGGAAGCTGTCTTCACTGAATGGATGTGATGGTTCAGAGCTGAGGGGAAAAAAGGCACTGTCAGGTTGTAGCAAAGGCTGCATCCCCAGACCTCAGGAAGGCACCACCTAAAGTCCAGATTCAGATACTGCTTTAGGGTGAGGGATGTACATACATAGGCTCAGTGCAGGAATCCTGCTCTGAAAAGTTACTGGAACAAGAGGGAAGGAGAGAGGCAGCAGAAATTTAATAGTCGAGAGAAAATATTCCATTAGCTTCAGAAAATTAATATCCTAGTCTCAAAGTGTAGAGGTCCACAGACTTCTTGCAGAATGTCTGGGAGGACAAACTCTTCATAATACCACAAAGATATCATTTTCCTTTTTCCTATGCTGCTTTTGCACTGAGGATATGAAAGCAAACACAACTGGAGTCTTAGCACTAATTCAGACAGTGGCATCAAACAGTAAAGTCATTCATGGACATGCACTTAAAAGAGTTTTTAAAAAGCCAGTTCCAGTTAAGATCATTCTTAATGAACAACAAAAATTATTTATCTTATTAAATCTTGACCCTTGATTACATGGCTTTTAAATGTTTTGTGACAAACTGGAAAAAGTACTTCTGTTGTATATCAAATATGATGTGATCTTAAAGAAAGTGACAGACTGAGCTGTGAGCTAAATTGCTGGTCTCATCATGGAACACCATTTGTTCAAAGATGGACTGACAAATGGGTCGGTCATTAAGATATTTTCTAGAAATTGAACAAGGTAATGTGTTTACTGTCAATGATAAATTCAAGTTTTAGATGAAAATTACAATTTTGAAAAATGTTTATCTGCCATCAAATCTGATAGCTTCTTTAATTGTTACAAACCTGGTGATATTAATGAATGTTTTTAGATACTGATGAATGAAGTATATCAATGTTTGGAGGATTTGTATATGCTAATGAATCACTATTCTCCAAATGACCCATGTTGATGTTTCAGGCTAGTGGATTCTAATGGAACAGAGTATGAAAACTTCATGGATGTGGTTTCAGATTCCACATTATAAGCCAGTCTTTAAGAAACTACAACTTGAGTTTTGCTATAGTATCAAAAAGAATACCCACAATTATCTATAAAGATAATGTAGTTGGCTGAGAGACGACTACTTTCTACCTGTGAGGCCAAATTTTCTTTTTTTTTTGTTAAAAAATATTTATTTTTTAGTTGTACTTGGACACAATACCTTTATTTTATTTAATTATTTTATGTGGTGCTGAGGATTGAACCCAGGGCCTCACACTCGCTAGGTGAGCACTCTACCGCTGAGCCACAATCCCAGCCTGAGATTTTCTTCTTATATTTCAACCAAATGACATATTGCAACAGACTGAATACAGAAGCAGACAAAAGAATCTAACACCAGACATAAAAGAGATTTGAAAAAAATACAGGACAATGAATTTTTTCTGTTTTTTAGAAAAAGTTATTTTTCATTAAAATGTGCTATTTATCTTAACATGACTGCTATTTTTACATGAATATTTAAAATAACTTGGTTTTAATTTCTAATATGGTAAATATTAGTAGATATAACCTTTGTGAAAAAAGTTTTCTGCATTCTTGATGGCTTTTAAGATATAAAGAGGTCCTGAGACCAGGGAAGTTTGAGAATCATATACCTTCTCTGACATAAACTATCAAGACAGACAATGAGTCAGGCATGATGGTACATGCCTGTAATCCCAGCGGCTTGGGAGGCTGAGGCAGGAGGATTGTGAGTTGAAAGCCAGCTTCAGCAACTCAGTGAGACCCTGTGTCTAAATAAAATATTTAAAAAAGGGGGACTGGGGTTGTGGCTCAGTGGTAGAGCGCTGGCCTGGGTTTGATCCTTAGCACCACATAAAAATAAATAAATAAAATAAAGTTTTTTTTTTTGTTTGTTTGTTTTTGTTTTTAAAAAAGGGCCGGAGTTGGGGCTGGGTTGTGGTTCAGTGATAAGTGCTTGCCTATGTGTGAGGCACTGGATTCAATTCTCAGCACTGCATATAAAGAAATAAAATAGAGGTCTATTTATAACTAAAAAAATATTAAAAAATAAAAAGGGCTGGGGATGTGGCTTAGTGTTTACGTACCCCTACACTCCTGGGTTCAATCCCTGGTACAAAAAAAAGAATGATAACGATATGGAAGAGTAGGAAAAAAAGGGGCAAGGTTCTGCGGTTGAGCTCTGTGAACTTGGGCAAATGACCTCCCTTCTACAAAGTTCCTCTCCTTGTCCTAAGGCTTTTTCTTGTTTCAGTACCTGGCCTCCCTGGCACTGGTCCAGCTCGTATACACCTTCTGAAGTGAGGGATTCCAGGGGGCTGGGGAGATTGGATCTGTTTCTCAGACCCAAGTCACTGGGTTTTACCAACATAAAACACAATTCAAAAAGTCAGTCTTTGTTGCACAAAACATTATTCTCTGGTTTGTAAGCATTCCCAAAGGAGGGGAGCCCATGTGCTCCCTGAATGGGACAATACCACACTATAAATTGCTGGGAAAAGTCTGAGGATTTGCTTTGTTGTTCTCCATATAAGTGGTTACTTCTGTCCCAAGCCTGAGCCAAAGGGTCCATCCAGTGGTGCTGTTTGTCTCACTCACCTTGCTGGGATAATAATGGTGTGCTTGGCAATGCAGGATCATAGGTGGGAGGTCCTGGGGGTGGGATTGCTGGCACAGCGAAGCTCTTTAATGGGTGGGAAGGACGAACATGGGCTGTGGGAAGACTCTGCCCTGAATCTTCCTCCTGGGAGCTGGCCAAGTAAGAGGAGCTGGTAGCACCTTCAGGATCCTGATGATCAGTGCAGCATGTCTGAGATGAGGAGGCTGGCATGGTGTCAGTGCTGGGAGTATTTCGAACAGATTCTATAGCAGGAAAGCCTAAATGTCAGCATTTTTTTTTTTTTAACCATTAAATGTGTAGGGTTTTGGCTACTTCTAGAAGTCCCTTAAACTAGCTCAGTAAGCTCTTGGGACCAGTGCTAGACCCAGGGAACATAGATTAGCACCACAGCCAAGGCTAGAACAGACCAAAAGTCCCAAACTCCTATCCTCAACCAATTGTTCCAATTTTTTTTTTCACCTGCACAGCTAGCTAAGTGGTCACAATCTTAAAGATTTAAAGTTCTCCTCAATACTTATTATGGAACACAAAAAAAGGTTCCTGAAACCATTGTCTATATTGGTATAAAATAAAATTTTAAATTTCACTCATTGATAAGGCTTACAGACTGTAGATGAGCATGTTTTAAGGACCTTGATGATCAGTATAGTATGTCTGAGATAAAGAGGCTGGCCTGGTGTCAGTGCTCGGGGCAGGTCACCAAGGCTGGTCAGGTACTTGACAGGAGTCAGCTCTGCCGCCAAGGCCTGGTGGTTACTGAAGGAAAGGCCAATGCCACAGGCCTTACATGGTCACTGGGGACCACAAATGGCTTTGGCCTCACTAGGGCAAAAATCCCATAGTTCAAGAGAGTAATGGACAACTAAACAGTTCAGAGGTCTACACACAGCTTTAAGATCATGCCCTGGCTGGGGATGTGGCTCAGTGGTAAAGTACTTGCCTAGCATGCTTGAGGACCTAGGTTCTCCTGTACTTCTCCCTAGTACAGGAGAGAAAAAAAATCGTGCCAAATGAAGGGTGATTTGGTCCAGAGAAAGAAATAGGGGTAGATTAGCCTGGAAAAGAGGAGACTCAGGAAGAAAATGGTAACAATCTTTAAGCATGTGAAGTAGACACAGAATTCTTCTGAAGGCAGCACAGTGGAGCAGGAAAAGCTCTGACTCTGGAGTCTGACAGGTTTGCACTCTAGATTTGGCAAAGTCGTCAAATCTGTCTTAGTTTCTCCATCTACAAAACAGGTAGAATAACTTATAATTCACTGAGGAGTAATTGAGATGTATGAAAAGTGCTGAACACAGTACCTGAATAACTGAGAATGTTTTTTTCTTTATAGATCACTGAGTGTTTACTCCAGGCCAGGCACCATGTGACAGGAAGTAAATAAGCAGTTGCCACGGACACAGAACCAGCATGGTAGAATCTGAATCCCTGCACCCTGACTCCCATGCCCAGGCTCTGAAGAACCACATGCAATTACTACCTTTCCCTGCCTGATGCCACATGTCCCTGCCCTGGGGGTGGGGCAGAAGCAGTACCAAGGCCAGGAGGACTATCTGAGGAAGACTTTCACACAGTGTGAGTAGGATGGACTACTGCTGCATCTGGAAGAGATATGAAGGACACCAGTCTGGGCAACAGGCTGCATCAGTCATAAGACACTAGAGTCCTCAATCTTAAAAGAAATGCAATCAGCAACCTGTAGAAATCCAATCTACTTCTCTGCCTTTGTGAGGCAGTAATGAATCTGTTTATAGGCTATGAGAAGACAGGCTACAAGTGTTACCTCCGTGGCCTAAAGGCCTTGGGTCCCAGGGATGAAGGACAAACATGCCCTCCTATGTATGCCTGTCTATGATAATCCCTCTAGTTCCAGGTCCCTTCTCAGCTTTGTAAGGGCCGTGTTGAGGATGTTACTCTTCAATTTGCTCAAGCCAGCCATCACCATAGCTAGAGAGCTGCTAATCACTGTGTGATCCTGGCCAAGAAGAGAAATAGGGAGGAGGAGAGAGGATAGTGGGTTTAAGTCCTGACCATGTCAGCAAGTACTGGAAGATATGATAAAGAGAAGTGAGAAAGGAAAATAGAGTTGTCTATATGAATTAGCTCCCTGGCCACTGCCACAGGCCAGGGCTGCCTTGTCCAACTCTAGAGGTATTCTCTGTGAGGGTGACTCCTGGATATTGTCCAACATCACTGGCTTACTCAGACATTAGGCTATGACTGAAATATTTGCTTTGTTGAGAGGCCTAGTTCCTTAATTATCTCTCAGAGTTGTTTCAGGCACACAAAGTTCCCAGTGATCTAGTGCTTAATCAAGTAGGAAGTGATCTTCCTATGTCAAGTGGCAATGACATGGTAAATACTTTTGGAGCAGAACTGTCTGGCCAGGCCCCATGTCCAGGGCTGTGGTAATACTTGGAGCTCTAGAGACACAAAGGTGTGTGGAAAACCACAGCAAGAAAGCTTGGACCATTTCTAAATACTGGCACTATTTTTCAAATTGATCTTCAGTGAGTCTATCTCTTTAGTTTTACTTTCTTTTATTCTTTCTGTCATTTAAGTAAGGAATCCTTTAGTAATGCAAATCACTGCTTTCCCCACCCCCCTCTTCACTTTCTATTTTGGTCCACACAGAAGGGAACTTTTACCACTTAAATGAGGACCTGGTGGGAGGTGCTACGCATCTCTTGGGCTCCCAATTCCCTCCTAGTCCAGGACGAGGTAGGAGGTGGCTCACCTCACTGGGAGAGCCTGCCAGCTACTCAGCCCGGTATCCTAGAATGTGATTCCTCAGCCTTCAAAGTAAAGAAGCAGAGTTGGGCATAAAAACCTTCCTAAGAGCAGGTTTGGAGGACTGCTTTCTGGTTCTTTGTTCTATTTGAGACTGTGGCTTTGAGGGAGACCTTGATTCTCCGTCCAGCTGAATGGAATAACTATCTATCCTGGGGACCATCTTTCCCTAAAGGCAGAACCCGAAACCTGGATTTGTAGGGATATTCTAGAAAGGTCAAATTTAGATGCAAGTTCAAGCAGTATTCTCTAAACCTGGTAACAGTTCTGGGACTAGATAATATTAGAAGTTATCAGACATCTCTTAATAAAGTCCTTACCTTTATTTGATGCTCTAGGTATATTTAAGATTGATCAAAATTTAGGAAGAGGAGGATGTCAGTGGCAACCAAAACTTCTAAGCATGAAGTTTTGAGGCTCTTTTAAAATGACACTCACTTGAAATTTCCTTATTTCCCAGAATCACTAAAACTCAGCTCTACAACTAATATAATAACTATTAATAGGTAAGTTTCAAAAGATGGGGATAGTATATATTTGCAGTTTAAAACTGAAAGGGGAAATTAATTTGCAATTAATGAGGAATAAAAATGTTTATTCCATTTTTCTGTCCCCTCACCTTCATTATTTCCTTCTTAAAACTGATGATGCTGTTTCTTAAGATTTCCAAACTGGACATGCTTGTCTAGCAATGTACTTTATTAGAGACAACCCACATCATTATGCTAATTTTCTATCTATGTTTTAGAGATATGCATCCATTCCCAATTTTCATAATCCATTAGGCAACTTGAGATTTACAGTAAATACAAACTTGTTGTGGCTGGTACTCTCCATCCCCCAAAGCTGATCTTATTTTGGTCTATGAAGTATCTGACAGCTGCCTTATGGACTTTCCCAAAGTTAAGGTGACTATGAGGCAAAGGTAACTTTTGACATATAAAAACCACCTAGAATGAATTTTCCTTTCAAATTGGAGGATTAAAAAAAAATTAAAACAATTTGGAAAAAAAAGAATTGATGCAAGTTTTAAGGAATAAGAGATACTTATGTGATTTGAGTTTTTGCTAAAATGGCACCTTGCACTGAATACTTAAAACTTAGGGAGAAATATGGGGTGAATTTTACAGAAACAAATTCAAGTCAGTTACAGAACATTATGATAAATAAAATAACATTGAAAAATTCTAAGTAGGGCAAGTCCTTCCCCATTTCTGCTTGCCATCTTTAGGAATGCTTTTCATCTGGACTTGATCCTCATCTCTCACCTGTGGAATTGGCCCTGTCTGAAAGGGACATGGATGTGCCAACGGGCCATGGGCTGCCCGGGTGGTAGAGATGACTGCGAGCTGGAGAAGCGAGGCTGCTGGAGTGGAAATGATGGTGAGGGTTATCGAGGGAATGGATGGGATGGGCACTAATCACAGCTGTGAATGAACACAAGACAAAGAAATGCTTAACATGCTTGCACAGACACACATAAATCACAGTTTAAGAGCAAAGCCACCCCCTTCCCACCTCCCATATGATCCAATCACTCCCTTTGCTTTCTGGTGGCAGCAGGCTGGATTTGGGCAATCAGCCATTGATTTTACTTTTGATTTAACAAAGGAACACATACTTATGCATATGTCTATATATATATATATAGAAAAGAAGTCTGAGGAATATATACTAAAATGTTAACAGTGATTATTTTGTAGGGAAGAGTGGTCAGGATTAAAAGAATGTTTCTCTTTTGGCTTATCTACATTTCTCAATTCTATTATAAACATGGATTACATGAGTTGTTAAAATATCTATTTGAATACGTCACAAAATATAATCCATAAGCACATAAATAATGGCTTAGGCTTCTGTAATTTTTTTGTCCTATTAAAGGAATAGCAGTCCTATTTATTTTGAGTACACTCCTAATTCATTCTTTTTTTATTTGCCAAAAGAGGTATGTAATAGGCATTAATAAATGGGTAGCTGTTTAATCAGTTATTATATCTTAATGAATATGAAAGTTTCCTCTGATGGTTTAATCTAGTACCAAGTGTATGAACTATAGGCCTACTTCTTTTACTGCTTCCAAGTCTGGGGGCTCAGTCACACCCATGTTAAAATATAAGTGATCTTTCCTAATTTCTTCTTCCCTTCCCACAATGGCTAAGGACTCAATTTATTGCATTTGATTAAAGAATCCAGAATTTCACAGAGATTCCACATACGACTTTCTATGAAGCCTTTTTAATGACGTTTCATGTTCAATTTCAGAGATGTAAAAAATGAAAATCAGAAGCCCAGACTTTGGAAATAAAATTTTCTTAAAACAGTTGTAGAAACAGAATATTTAAAATCAAGATAATCACCTCTAAATCCCCCATGTAGGCAAACAGGCAGGGTAGACGAAGGATACAGGACATCTTTTTTTCTCTAAGCAAGGGCTTCATGAACTTTATGGTAAAACTTAACTAGCTCTTTGGAGCCTATTACAATGTCTTGTTGCCAGGGATCTCCCCAGATCTTTGTGGAGTCAATCAACATTACTTTGGTTAAGAGAAATCTCAGGCAATGAAATGGACATCTTTATTCTCCAGCAATCTCCTGTCCTGGTTGTGCAAAAGCAAGCAGGTGCACAGCCAATCTGGGACCCTTTATCATCACTGCCCCTCCCTCTCCTGCTCAAGACCAGAAGGCTCCAGGAGGCTCATGGGAATTAAACACAACACTGAAAAACTGACTGATGAGGGTTCCCAGGGCAGTCTGGAAGTCAGCATGTCCTCTGGTGGAAGACAGGTAGCTTTTGGAAGGGAGATACCTTAGAATCAGTATTTTAAAAAAACTAAGGCTGCAGGGAGAGAATAAATCTGATTTTGACTTAGGAAGTGCATTCTGAAAGTGTTCTAGGTACAGAAGACTCTCACAAATAAAAAACAGTGGAATTTTAAAAAATGGCATTTTTAGTGTTTCTAAATAAGAAAACAAAACAAAACATGAAAGTGCCTGCATAAAGTGTAGTCAGCTTTCAAGAGTTGGTAGCTGAATCTGAACTTGTTGCTTCTGTGCGCCTCATCTGGATGCCAGCAGGCCCTGCCCAGCACTGCTCAGCCTTTTTAGATCAGGGTAGGTGGATCATATGATGGTACATATGGCTCCACCCTCATCCTAGGATCCAGAGCTCAGGGAATTCCAGCTTGTGAGAAAAGACTGCATCCATGTGGGTTTTGAAAAGTATCTCTTAAAATATGAAGTCCACAAGTGCATCCAGGCACCTGATTTTAGATCTTGATTTAAACAGCCTACCTACCATTCAATTTTTTGAGACCCAAACTATATGATATTGTATAATCATGCAAACTCCTTCCCTACCATAAAAAAAAAAGAAAGATGTTAACTGGGATAACTTTTTTTCCCTTAACATATTTAAAAGTAATAAATCTAAAAATATAATCAAATTTAACTTTTAAAAATAAGCCAGTTCGGGGCTGGGGCTGTGGTTCTGTAGTAGAGCACTTGCCTCGTACATGTGAGGCCCTGGGTTCGATCCTCAGCACCACATGAAAAATGAATAAACAAATAAAGGTATTGTGTTCACCTACAACTTAAAAAAAAAAAAAGCCAGTTCAGGTAGGAACTGAAGTCTTATACAAAATAAACAAATAAGCAGGCAGGCTACCACCTTTTTATAAATCAAGAACAATTAGAATGGATTCATTTACTCTTTTTAGGCATTTGTGTCTTTAAACATAGGGGGCCCATGCAGGATATTTCTTATAAAAGGGAAACTGGGGTTTTTTCCTCCTCATGTTTCTAAGTCCAGGCTCTTCTATCACAAACCCTAAGTATAAACTATTTTGTATAAAAAATTTTTTATTAACTTAAAGGGCCTTACTCTTTCAAAGCTGAGTTTTAAGCTGGGTTGTGGAGGTGCACACCCATAATCCCAGCTACTTGGGAGACTGAGGCAGGAGGATCAAATTTGAAGACAACCTGAGCAACTTTGACCCTGTTTCAAAATAAAAACAAAAATGGGTGGGGATGTAGTTTAGTGGTAGAGCATCTGCATACACATCTGTATATTCAAAGGTTCCACCAGAAGGGTGGAGGATGAGAGAACTTTTCCAAGGAGAGGATGCCATGGTGCAACTCTTTATGTTTAGGACATCATGGCTATTTAAATCTTATCATTTGCTGGCAGAGAAATGGCTGAGCATTCCTTCAATTGGAAGTCCTGCAGCACTGGCTAGTCTGAAAAGCTTCTATCTTGAAAACAGAAACCAGGGAAAGGACACAGGAGTTCAAAAAACAAATAACACAAACAAACAAACAACAACAACAACAAACCTGCACTCATTGCTTTTTGATTTTTTTTAAAATTTTTTATTGTTGGCTGTTCAAAACATTACATAGTTCTTGATATATCATATTTCACACTTTGATTCAAGTGGGTTATGAGTTCCCATTTTTTACTCCATATACAGATTGCAGAATCACATCAGTTACACATCCATTGATTTACATATTTCCATACTAGTGTCTGTTGTGTTCTGCTGCCTTTCCTATCCTCTACTATCCCCCCTCCCCTCCCCTCCCCTCTTCTCTCTCTGCCCCCTCTACTGACATTCATTTGTCCCCCTTGTATTATTTTTCCCTTTCCCTTCACTTCCTCTTGTATGTACTTTTGTATAACTCTGAGGGTCTCCTTCCATTTCCATGCAATTTCCCTTCTCTCTCCCTTTCCCTCCCACCTCTCATCCCTGTTTAATGTTAATCTTCTTCTCATGCTCTTCGACCCTACTCTGTTCTTAGTTACTCTCCTTATATCAAAGAAGACATTTGGCATTTGTTTTTTAGGGATTGGCTAGCTTCACTTAGCATAATCTGCTCTAATGCCATCCATTTCCCTGTAAATTCTATGATTTTGTCATTTTTTAATGCAGAGTAATACTCCATTGTGTATAAATGCCACATTTTTTT